AATTTGTTATGCAGCAATGGATAACTGATACACCTCACCCGTCTCACTATTGGGAATCTCATCATTAGAGCTTCACTCTGTGGGTGGGTTAAGTCACAATCTCCCCCATGACTCTCCCAACCTGAGGTAAATAACAACTGGGGTAATGCAGATTTGCTGAATCAGATAATGGCTAGAGGACACCCCCAATCCAATTATAGGATGCTATGCTGAGAGTGGCATGTGGCCGCTTAATCATTCTTAGTTCTTCTTTTTTTTTTTTTTGAGACAGAGTCTCGCTGTGTAACCCAGGCTGGGGTAGTGTGGTGGTGTGATCTTGGCTCACTACAACCACTGCCTCCCAGGTTCAAGCAATTCTCCTGCCTCAGCCTCCCAAGTAGCTAGGACTACAGGTACGCACCAGCATGCCCAGCTAATTTTTGTATTTTTAGTAGAGACGGGATTTCACCATGCTGGCCAGGCTGGTCTCAAACTCCTGACTTTGTGATCCTTGGCCTCCCAAAGTGCTGGGATTACAGGCGTGAGCCACTGCGCCTGGCTATCATTCTTAATTCTTAATTTTAATCATTCTTAACTCACCCAGGGCTGGGCCAGGTGGCACAAGCAGGTGTGCAAGCAGCTTCAACGGAGTTACAATGTCACAGCTTTTCTATATGTCTGGTTCCTTCCCAGGAAAATCATCCCTTGCTTTAGCTGACAGTGAGAGGCGCAGGGCTGTCTTGGGGATGAGGAATCGAGGAGAGCTGGGCTCTGGCCACAGTAGGACCCAGACTCCACAGATCCCATCTTTTGGGCCCTCTCCATTCTCTGCTTGTAGTGGCCACAAACACATTTGTGGGACCTCTCAGCATCTTCCAACCTCCTTTCAGAGTCCCCACCCCTGGCGGGCCACTGACCCAGCATCGGAAGTTAGCACGATGTGACTGTGCATATCTTGGTGTCACAGTGTGTATGTGTGCGTGTGTGTGGACATGGAGTGGGAGGTATCTGTGTGTAGTGTGTGCCGGGGGTCTCCATGTAGCATGCATTTGTCTGCAGGTACATTTGATTTGTGGGTTTCTGGGTGGGAAGGAGTATGTATGCAGCTATATTTCTATGTGTACCTGGAAGAGTGTACACATGTATGAGAATATGTGTATTTGCATGATGGCTTTATCAGGGTGGCGACCCTGTGCACTTTGTGTTTGTGTCTGTGTTTGCTGCATTCGAGATGTGTATCTGTGTGTCTGGGTTTCCATGGCCAGCCACCAGCCTGAGGTGTGCCTGAGCTGTAGTCCTCAAAGGGTTAAGGGAAACAGGCGCCACCATAACTCTTAATCATAGCTTTGCAAGCTTAGCCAGTGCCCCTGTTGAAAAATGTTTCAAAAAGCAAAATAAATGATCTTTTAGTTACAGAAGTATTGATTTTGCCCACATCTAGTAATAAAGAGCAAGTCACCTGTAGCTAAAACTCTTGTAAAATATATTTTATACTCTAATAGTCTGCAGATAGAGTCACCCGCTGAGCACAGATGACAAATCTCCCCAGCGCGGCCTGCGCCCCCCATATTTCACGTCAGGGACGCGGTGGTGGTGCAGGCAGCGGCAGAGCTGGGCCTCCCCTCCGGTGAAGACATGGCCTGGTTGGCCGGAAAAGAAAAAAAGCCAGATTCCTGGCACATGGTCCCTTCCCCTGCCTCTACCCTGAGCCCTCAGCACCATCCTGCGTCGTGGTAGGTTAAGACCAAACGCCCTGAAGATAGAGCTGGCCTCCTCTGTCCAGACCCCTCAGGAGCTCCCCCCAGGCTCTCAGAGGGCCATGCCTCTCCCAGCACTCTGTGGAGGCTGACCGTTTGGGAATGCTGAGGCTAGATTTGAGAGAAGAGTGAACAAGGAGGTGGGGGCTCTTTCCCAGTTTGAAGGCCAGTTACCCCAGATGTACACAGACATGTTCACACATGTGCCACACTCAGGCCTCTCCCAAGCCTCCTTGTACACACAAGAGACACACTTAGTGCTCAATGCACACATACACAAGGCAATCCCTTGGCACATATGTTGGGGGACAAACTTGACACCCCCGCCACATGTGAATGACACTCGGCTTTACGCAGACACACACTTGAGTGTTCCCCAAGTGAAGGGGTGCACGCCCAGTCCCTTCACACAGACCTGCATAGTACATCTAAAACACCAGGCCACATCCTCTCTACCCGGAGAAGTCCTTCAAAAAATCAACTTCTGTCTGAGACCATCAAACAGTCACTCTGTTTTTGGGGATGAGAATGTGTACCATACTCATATGAGATATACAGATCCAGGCCAGGCACAGTGGCTTATGCCTGTAATCCCAGAACTTTGGGAGGCTGAGGCGGGTGGATCACTTGAGATCAGGAGTTTGAGACCGGCTTGGCCAACATGGTGAAACCCTGTCTCTACTAAAAATACAAAAATAAATTAGCTGGATGTGGTGGCAGACACCTGTAATCCCAGCTACTCGGGAGGCTGAGGCAGGAGAATGGTTTGAGCTCGGGAGGTGGAGGTTGCAGTGAGCTGAGATCCTGCCACTGCACTCCAGCCTGGGTGACAGAGCAAGGCTCCAGCTCAAAAAA